GGACTGCTCTTTCTAGGTCTCAAGTCTGCCAGCCTTCAGACTGGAACTGTCTAACGTCCACTATCCTGGTTCTGAGGCCTTCAAACCTGGGCTGGAATTACACCATCAGCTTTCTTGGGTCTCCTGCATGCCAAATGGAGATCTTGGATCTTGTCAGCCTGCATAACTCCCCACCCTCTTACCTCCAGGCACACACCGGAAGCCATCTCCCCAATAGCCAGGTTTGCACTGGCACGTGAAGGAACCTGGAGTGTTGTAGCAGAAGGCATCAGGGTGGCAGCGACTCAGCTGGCATTCATCCACGTCTGCAAAACAACCACCAGGCCCGGTGACAATGAGATTTCTTCTGGAATTCATTGTTTATACAACAAATCTAGGGAAACATCCTTCTGATCTGGGAACAGTGCTTTTAAAACTCACTAAACATTAATTATCAAGACACCAACTCACCAATTTCTATCGAGTGCATTTACACGTGTTTCACTTGGGTGATAATGTATTCTTAAAAAGTCAAGCTGGCAAAAGGGAAAAAGAGAGAATTCATCTGCCTTATAAAGTGACCCCTCCTATCATAAATGAGAGCTTCAAAAATGTCTGAGTGTTTGCAGACAGATTATTAACTGCTTGACAGAGACAAGAGCAAATTCACATTTTCGGTAATAAAGAGAAAGTATTTCAGAAATGATTGTCTATCTTAGAAAGCTTGGACTTTTCAGAAACACTCTGTGGTACAATGTTAGGTAACTTTGTGAACCAGGAGACCCAGGATACCCTATTTGTGAGTTATCTTACCTAAAATTACCTTCAAGAGCACCCTGGCAGCCAGCAACGGGCTGACTTCCAGTCTTAAAGAATCCCGTGGTGTCATTTATTCTCTGACTCTGCAGTCATTCATGCAATTAGGGGACTTTCCTTTTCTGGAGGAGAAAGTTAGAGCAAGCCAGTCGAATGGCTGGACATATCTTACTAAATAAAAGATGGACTTTATGCTCCATGCATGAAAGGATGATCCTCTGACTCTGCAGTCATTCATGCAATTAGGGGACTTTCCTTTTCTGGAGGAGAAAGTTAGAACAAGCCAGTCGAATGGCTGGACATATCTTACTAAATAAAAGATGGACTTTATGCTCCATGCATGAAAGGATGATTTGTCTTTTCATGAAAGTCAAACAATATCCTTAGTTCATAGCAGGGAGCAGGTGTCTAACTGTTCCCTTACTGAGCAAGTCACATGGAACAAAAGAGTCATGGGAGGCCAAGTGTCTTTTGCATTGAGAACAGCCCCCAAAAGAAAACACATAGTTCGAGGTACGAGAGAGATATTCAAAGCAGCCCATTTACCCAATGGTGCCGAGGGAAGAATTTTTCGTATGTTCAGGGGTGAGTGTGTAATTAGCACATGACAAGTACCACCCAGTTAACTTCTTCAAGTTACACAGAGGGAAAAATGAAAGCAACCAGGCACCTTGGCAGGCTCGGCCGTCCCCAGAGAAGCCAGGCAAACAGGAGCAGGTGTAGGAAGAGCCACCTGTGTAGACACACCGGGCCCGCTGGGGTATGTCACAGTCATGGAGGCCTGTGGTGCAGTAGTCGATGGGGCGCTGGTCCATGACAGCTGTGAAACGAAAGGGAAATGCACAATGGTTGGAAGAGAGTCCCCTGAGCAGGCCCAGTGCCTCCCAAGCTCCCTGCACAGCACGGCTTAGTCCAGTGGGACTCTAAAAGGTGTCTCCACACTGAGCTGGGACCCCTGGCTTTTATCTGGCTTCTGCCACCTGGATCCTGCCTCTGACTGGTCTTTGCTTACTGACACCATGGTAGGTCCTGCAGCCCAGGGCTCTGCCTCTGGCCTCTCTCCATACCAGATCTCAGGACCTGGTATGGAGATCCAGGATCTGGTATGGAGATCACAGGTCCTCAGAACCCCAGTCCCCCTTCTGCTGGACGTGGAGGCGGGACACCTACGAGTGCCCCATTTCCTATGGCAGCCCTGTTGGTGGAGCATCGGCAGCCAAGGATCTGAGACTCCACATGGCCACTCTGGGCAGGTGGAACTTCACTGCAGATGCTGAAGCCCACCAAAGAAGGAGAAATAAACTCTTCCACGGCAGCGAGACAGACTGAGGGCCTTGGGGGTAGGCAGCCTGGGTTTTCACCAGGCACACGTGGGTCAGCCTCATGGCCTTGGATGAACCGTGTGACTTCTCAGAGCCTCACAGTCTCCCTCCGCAGAGCAGGAATCACGTCCAGCATGCTAAGCCCAGGGAGGCAGCAGATGCGAGCATAATTTTCCAAAGGGCCTGATGATGGAACTCATGGGGTGAGGCTGGGGACGCCCTCTCTAGAGCTGTTGCCTGAAGAAAGACACAAGGGCTGAGTCTGGGGGCTGGCCAGTTAGCTCAATTGGTAGATCACAGTGGTACAACACCAAGGTCAAGGGTTTGGATCCCCTTCTGGCCAGCTGCCAAAAAATAAACAAATNAGCAGAAGGTAGGCTATTTAGGTTTTACAGGCTTGACAGTCTCTGTCATAAACTCTGCCCGTTTGTAACACGAAAGCAGCCATAGACTATACATAATCTAAGGAGGATGGCTGTGTTCCAATAAAACTTTATTTACAAAAACAGACAGTGGGTCAGATTTGAACCATGGGTCATAGTTTGCTGATCCCTGTTCAAAGAAGAAGAAAACGATTTAGACCAGCAACATGAAGTCTTGTACGTCATGATTTAAACTTTAACCTGATATTTTCTCCTCTTAGGTCAGCAACTATTCTAAAAACTAGTCCTAGTCATAGTGTGGGTAAACACATACTTTCATATACTGCTGGTAGGAATGGAAAACGGTGCATTCACTTATTCCTTTAACAACTGTAAATAGCTGTGAGCTCTGCCATGGGCCACCTCCTCTGCTGGCTACTGGAGACATAAAATAGTCACATGCACCCTGTCCCCAATGTGCTCACAGGCGAGGGAAGGGGATGGGTATTTAAACAGTTATTAACTGTCACTTAAAAAAATGGTGAGATGAAAATTTCTACTCATCTCTTATTGAAAACATTTATAGTGGCATGAATGTATCTGACCAACGGGAGCAGCAGTAATTAAAAATAAATAACATGACTAGCTAACTCCAGTCTGAGATGTCAAATATATCGTTAATCTCAGGTCTAGAGACTGTGTGCTTTAGAAGACCGAACTCAGACTTGGAGTCCATGAGACAGACCTGGGTATTAGTCTTAGTTCTGGTATTTAACACCTGGGTGACCTCGACTATGCTTTCCTCTTTTTTAGTTTCAGCATCCTCTGTGTAAATGGAGATAGTAATAGCTCTTAGCTTAAAAAGATGACTCTGAGCCAGTGCCACAGGGCCCGCCCAGGAACCCAAGGCATGGAGAAGGGGACCGGACCCCTCTCCCACAACCACGCACATTGCACTGGCACCTCGGGGCCTGCCTGGGGAACTGAGGCAGGGAGCTGAGGACTGGACCCACCCCCACAGCCAGGCACACCACCAGCACCAAGGAGCATGCAAAAAACATCACCTCCATATAGGTGGCCCACATAACCACGGCTGCTGCGAAAACGGCTAGATGCCACAACCACCACGCAGATGGTCCACCAGCCACTGGAGTGCATTGACATAAGGAGAGTCACCAGCAGAGATAAAGAAAAGAAGAGGCTGTCTCTCTCCACAAAGCCGATTCCAGAGTGACAGAAGCATCTGCTCTATGATAATATTGGGGGACCTGATCACACCTCTCAGCATTGGACAGATCATGCAGGCAACAAATCAACAGAGTAACCATTACTCTTTCAGAAGCAGAGAAGAAATCTAGGGTTATCAGAGGGGGGAGGGGGATAAAAAGGGGGATGGGGTGAGATTGGACAAGGGGCATATAGAACAATTATGATTTGTAACAATATATATGCTAGTAATATTGATTTGATCAACGTATCTCAATGTTGAACCCCAAAAATATGTCTAATCAATTTTGATTCAATAAAAATTAAAAAAAAAAAAAGATTACCCTGAGCATTACATGAAATAGCATCTGTAAAGCACTGAGCACAGGGTAAGTTCTGCACAAATGGTGGACATTTACATTCATTCACTCAATAGCACTGGTTGAGTGCCTGCAGAGTTCCCAGATGCCTTGCAGGTACTGACCTGAAGCTATCACAATCCTTTTTTTTTAAATTTGTGACCGGTAAGGGGATCGCAACCCATGACTTGGTGTCGCCCACACCGCGCTCAGCCAGTGAGTGCACCAGCCATCCCTATATAGGATCTGAACCCACGGCCTCGGCGCTCCCAGCACTGCTGTGCTCCCAGCACTGCACTCTCCCGAGTGAGCCATGGGGTCGGCCCACAATCCTTATGCTCTAATAAGATGCCACTCAGTCTCAGGTGAGTAGCACCTCTAGAAGCTGCACAGTCCAGGTCAAGTATAGCAGGTAATACAGACCATTCGTGGAATCCTTGGCCAACATCTTCTCCCAGCACAGGCCCTTCACCTCGTCCCCTCTCCCACCCCAACTCCATTCCCTGTGACTCTTAGGAACCTGTGCTGGTTTGTTTTATGTGTCTACTTGACTGGGCTACAGGGTGCCCAGATATTTGGTCAAACATTATTCTGGATGTTTCTGTGAAAGTGTTTTTGATTGGCACTTAAATCGATAGGCGGAGTAAAGCAGATTGTCGTGCCTAATGTGAGTGGGCCTTGTCCAATCAGTAGAAGCCCTGAATAGAACAAAAGAGAGGATTCTTTCTGCCTGATGGTGTCTGAACTGGAACATCATTTTTTCCCCCTGATTTTGGACTGCTCTTTCTAGGTCTCAAGTCTGCCAGCCTTCAGACTGGAACTGTCTAACGTCCACTATCCTGGTTCTGAGGCCTTCAAACCTGGGCTGGAATTACACCATCAGCTTTCTTGGGTCTCCTGCATGCCAAATGGAGATCTTGGATCTTGTCAGCCTGCATAACTCCCCACCCTCTTACCTCCAGGCACACACCGGAAGCCATCTCCCCAATAGCCAGGTTTGCACTGGCACGTGAAGGAACCTGGAGTGTTGTAGCAGAAGGCATCAGGGTGGCAGCGACTCAGCTGGCATTCATCCACGTCTGCAAAACAACCACCAGGCCCGGTGACAATGAGATTTCTTCTGGAATTCATTGTTTATACAACAAATCTAGGGAAACATCCTTCTGATCTGGGAACAGTGCTTTTAAAACTCACTAAACATTAATTATCAAGACACCAACTCACCAATTTCTATCGAGTGCATTTACACGTGTTTCACTTGGGTGATAATGTATTCTTAAAAAGTCAAGCTGGCAAAAGGGAAAAAGAGAGAATTCATCTGCCTTATAAAGTGACCCCTCCTATCATAAATGAGAGCTTCAAAAATGTCTGAGTGTTTGCAGACAGATTATTAACTGCTTGACAGAGACAAGAGCAAATTCACATTTTCGGTAATAAAGAGAAAGTATTTCAGAAATGATTGTCTATCTTAGAAAGCTTGGACTTTTCAGAAACACTCTGTGGTACAATGTTAGGTAACTTTGTGAACCAGGAGACCCAGGATACCCTATTTGTGAGTTATCTTACCTAAAATTACCTTCAAGAGCACCCTGGCAGCCAGCAACGGGCTGACTTCCAGTCTTAAAGAATCCCGTGGTGTCATTTATTCTCTGACTCTGCAGTCATTCATGCAATTAGGGGACTTTCCTTTTCTGGAGGAGAAAGTTAGAACAAGCCAGTCGAATGGCTGGACATATCTTACTAAATAAAAGATGGACTTTATGCTCCATGCATGAAAGGATGATTTGTCTTTTCATGAAAGTCAAACAATATCCTTAGTTCATAGCAGGGAGCAGGTGTCTAACTGTTCCCTTACTGAGCAAGTCACATGGAACAAAAGAGTCATGGGAGGCCAAGTGTCTTTTGCATTGAGAACAGCCCCCAAAAGAAAACACATAGTTCGAGGTACGAGAGAGATATTCAAAGCAGCCCATTTACCCAATGGTGCCGAGGGAAGAATTTTTCGTATGTTCAGGGGTGAGTGTGTAATTAGCACATGACAAGTACCACCCAGTTAACTTCTTCAAGTTACACAGAGGGAAAAATGAAAGCAACCAGGCACCTTGGCAGGCTCGGCCGTCCCCAGAGAAGCCAGGCAAACAGGAGCAGGTGTAGGAAGAGCCACCTGTGTAGACACACCGGGCCCGCTGGGGTATGTCACAGTCATGGAGGCCTGTGGTGCAGTAGTCGATGGGGCGCTGGTCCATGACAGCTGTGAAACGAAAGGGAAATGCACAATGGTTGGAAGAGAGTCCCCTGAGCAGGCCCAGTGCCTCCCAAGCTCCCTGCACAGCACGGCTTAGTCCAGTGGGACTCTAAAAGGTGTCTCCACACTGAGCTGGGACCCCTGGCTTTTATCTGGCTTCTGCCACCTGGATCCTGCCTCTGACTGGTCTTTGCTTACTGACACCATGGTAGGTCCTGCAGCCCAGGGCTCTGCCTCTGGCCTCTCTCCATACCAGATCTCAGGACCTGGTATGGAGATCCAGGATCTGGTATGGAGATCACAGGTCCTCAGAACCCCAGTCCCCCTTCTGCTGGACGTGGAGGCGGGACACCTACGAGTGCCCCATTTCCTATGGCAGCCCTGTTGGTGGAGCATCGGCAGCCAAGGATCTGAGACTCCACATGGCCACTCTGGGCAGGTGGAACTTCACTGCAGATGCTGAAGCCCACCAAAGAAGGAGAAATAAACTCTTCCACGGCAGCGAGACAGACTGAGGGCCTTGGGGGTAGGCAGCCTGGGTTTTCACCAGGCACACGTGGGTCAGCCTCATGGCCTTGGATGAACCGTGTGACTTCTCAGAGCCTCACAGTCTCCCTCCGCAGAGCAGGAATCACGTCCAGCATGCTAAGCCCAGGGAGGCAGCAGATGCGAGCATAATTTTCCAAAGGGCCTGATGATGGAACTCATGGGGTGAGGCTGGGGACGCCCCCTCTAGAGCTGTTGCCTGAAGAAAGACACAAGGGCTGAGTCTGGGGGCTGGCTGGTTAGCTCAGTTGGTAGATCACAGTGTTACAACACCAAGGTCAAGGGTTTGGATCCCCTTCTGGCCAGCTGCCAAAAAATAAACAAATACAAAAAACAATGCTTAAGGGCTGGTCCATATGCTCAGTGGTCAGAGCATGGTGCTGATAACACCAAGGGCCTGAGTTCGGATCCCCATACTGGCCAGCTGCTCCTCCCCAGCCAAGAAAAAAGAAAGTGTGCTGGCCGGTAGGCTCAGTTGGTTAGAGTGTAGACTTGTAACACTGAGGTCAAGGCCTGGGATTCCCAAGCCAGCCAGCTGCCAAAAAAGAAAAAAAAAGCAGAGTGGGGGTGCTGAGTCTAGAGGGTGGTTTCCAACGGCAGGTTCAGCTGCTCTGAAAGTTACTCCTGAGGCACCATTTTGCTTCTGGTTTTCTAAAAGCGCTAAGACCCAGGACAGAGTCCCAGCCCTTAAAAACAGAAGCTTCTTCCCCGTGCCACCCTCCCCTGACAAGAGAACCTCAGTGTTTGGATGACCCCAGATGCAGAAGGTCTCATGTTTGTCCTTGATAAGTCTTCCTAAGGTTGCTTCCAGTGGATAATGCATTAAGTGCAGAGAAAGAGAGAGAGACAGACAGAGAGACAGAGAGAGAGCCCTCTAGGCACTCTCAGGGGACAGAGGAAGTAGAGGAGACTTTGGAGCTCTGTGTCAAATGACAGGTTAGCAATGTACTGGAGGATGGGGGACGGATGCCCGGCCTGTGCACTGAGCGGCTCAGACTCCCAGGGTCGAGAATGTGAACTAACTCCCATGGAACAGGCACCCCCAAGCCAAATCCTACAGACCAAATGTTGCTACATTTTAAGCTGCTCCCGATGGTCCAGAATTGTGGCTGGAAAACAGTAACCCAGAATAGGCCCAACCTGTCCAACCATGTGCTCCTGTTCCCTCGGACCGTCCTCCCTCGTCCCCACCCCTCACCTCCCACCAGGGCTAATGTTCTTTTCTGTAGGGTCTTCCTTCCTTCCAACCCCTCCAGCTAGCAAAATGGGACAAGGAAGATGCTCAAGGAATTGGAACCAAAAGACCCCACAAAAGGTAGGGAAAATATATTCATAGCAGCCAGGCAGGGAGCCTCACCCCGCTGTCCTGTCCCCCTCCTGTCACACACCTGGCTGGCTCCTGTCTTATAAACTGAGTTTGCTCACGGCTCGCCTGCCTCACCCCTACCCCCAGGGCCTGGCCTTGCTGCAGCCACGTGCTTTCTGGCTTGGCCACCATTTCCACCTGTGCCTGTCTGCAATGCTTGACTCAGTTACAGCAAAACAGCAGCGGGTAGTTTTGTTTTCTTCAAGTCCTGTTTTCCTTTATGGAAGAGCATGTCTCACGCCAAAGCAATTTGATCCTTGCAGGAGCTGCAAAAGCCAATGTGACAACCCTGAACAGTGTAGTCCTACCCTGTTCCATTTTTAAAAGAAAGAAAGCATTGTTCAGCTAATGTTTTCACATCCGTTAAAAGGAGAGTATGTCCAAAGGGGTCTGTCGGACTGCTGACCCCCAGTTCTCACACAAATGCAGTTTCTAGAACGTCTTGCCATTTGGAAAGCAGGAGTCAG